CCAATATGAACATCCAGGTTCCGCTATTGGTTATTGACTGGAGACATGTCTCGGTCATTTCTACATAGTTCTCGAACCCGTAGGGTCCGCACGCTTAACGTTTCGATGACGGTTATATTATGAGTTTATATATTTTGATGTACCGAAGGTTGTTCGGAGTCCCGGATGTGATCCCGGACATGACGAGGAGTCTCGAAATGGTCGAGACATGAAGATTGATATATTGGAAGCATATGTTTGGATACCGGAAGTGTTCCGGGTGAAATCGGGATTTTACCGGAGTACCGGGAGGTTACCGGAACCCCCTGGGGTCTTAATGGGCCTACATGGGCCTTAGTGGAAATAGAGGGCAGCAAGGGGAGTGTGGGGAGCCCCCCCCCAAGGCCCAAACCGATTTGGTTTAGGGCAAGGGGGTCGGCCCCCTCTTTCCTTCTCCCCCTCTCCCTTTCCTTCCCCCTCTCCCACTCCTACTAGGAATAGGAGGAGTCCTACTCCTAGTGGGAGTAGGACTCCCCCTTGGCGCGCCTCTCCCTGGCCGGCCGCCTCCTCCCCTTGCTCCTTTATATATGGGGGCAGGGGGGCACCCCATAGACACAACAATTGATCAAGTTGATCTTTTAGCCGTGTGCAGTGCCCCCCTCCATCATAGTCCACCTTGATAATACTGTAGCGGTGCTTAGGCGAAGCCCTGCGTCGGTAGAACATCAACATCGTCACCACGCCGTCGTGCTGACGAAACTCTCCCTCAACACTCGGCTGGATCGGAGTTCGAGGGACGTCATCGGGCTGAACGTGTGCTGAATTTGGAGGTGCCGTGCGTTCGGTACTTGATCGGTCGGATCGTGAAGACGTACGACTACATCAACCGCGTTGTGCTAATGCTTCCGCTTTCGGTCTACGAGGGTACGTGGACAACACTCTCCCCTCTCGTTGTTGTGCATCACCATGATCTTGCACGTGCGTAGGATTTTTTTTGAAATTACTACGTTCCCCAACACATAAGGCATGTTGTCTAAAGAATATAATTCATTTTATGAACTAAGACAATCATTTGTATGATGGTACCTATGTGTAGGGGGGATAAGTTTACTACCTTTGTGTAGAAGAAATCTCATTAGCCAACCAAAATGTTTATATCTACTAGTTATGACTTAAATGATCTTGGTGATACCTCATGCACTATTTTTATTGAGATTCACCGAGACATAGGTCCGAAAGGAGTATAAGTTTGTTATGATCACATACATGGACAGAGTGGGAAAGAAAACATGATGTCCAAATACTCAACCTTACTCACCTAAAGTTAAGGGAAATAAAGCTATACATTTTAATGTTCAAAAAGCTAATTTTAAACCGATTAGACAATGTGAGTTCCTTATGTTTAAGTTGTCAGGCGCATAATATTTATTAAGTATGAACATGCCCTTATTTACGGTTAGGATGCCTTACAAATATGCATTCAATCAAAACGTGGACCACTCGAAAACATTTATCGAGCTTTGCAATATACGCAAGGCAATAACGAATGCATGCTCATTTATGAGGAGTCTAAAAAATCAGAAAATCTGGGTTAGTTAGATATTGCTTGGTGAGGTGTGCAGATATTAATAATTCCATGTAATATTACATCTACATCCTCACACATGGAGCTAAATTGCGGAAATGCTCCAAAAGAACAATCATGACATCATTAGTGATGTGAAATTATTTTGTGGCATGTTAAGAGGCTATCGAGCATATTGTATGCCGAAGGATTTTTTTTTTCAAATATGAAAATGATAAACAACATCATTAAACTCCCTAATGTGGTTATGAGCATGCATTCCTCTATGCGAGTAATAACAAGTCAATTGGTGTTGCCAAAGCCATTGCCATTATGAGTGCATGATCAAACTTATGATATTGGACTTATAAGTTTTTGCGGTTCCACCCCTACAGGCTCACAACCCATTCTTTCATGATTATGTTGTCGACATTGGTTTAGAAAGCCTCTTGATTCCGGAAATGAGGACCATGAAATAAACTAACTACCATAAAGTATTATGTTTTTCATTTGGGTATAGAATGATGTACTATACATTCTGAGTACTATTGTTAAGTGGCATCTCATTGGTCACTATAACGCTTCACATTGGCGTGTTATTTCTATCGAGAGTGGGCATATGATGTTTGTTAATCTTACGATCAAGGATAGAAGGTTGGATATTGATCTCGGCTAGCAGCCGAGATAGAAAGTCAACAGGATGTGACCCACCACATGCCACGTACGTACACCGTGAGTCCATGGTCAGAGGTGCCAACCAACGATCTGGTTTTGGTTCCGACTCTGTAGTACCTAATATATGAAGGGAAGAATCCCACCAGTTTAATACTCCCTTCGTTTCTAAATATGTAAGTCTTTTTAGAGATTTCTCTAGTGACTACATACGGATGTATATAGGCATATTTTAGAGTGTAGATTCACTCAATTTTGCTCCACATGTAGTTCATATTGAAATTTCTAAAAGAACTTATATTTAGGAACGGAGGGAGTACTAACGATTTTACATGGTAGGTGTGGTTCCCCCTATGTTGATCCTAAGGTGGTGCTGAGAGAGGCTAAGACCATCTCTACCGCATACCCGCAGACCTCTTTTTACCGGTGGCGGGAGGTACTGGTGAAGCATCCATAGTTCGTCTAGTTTGTAATTCATGCGGTTTGGCGGCCCACATCATTATATCTTAGCGTATTCCAACTTTGCCCGCCCATATCCACCATTACGTTGCATCATGCATAGGTTCCGCCCATGCATGCATTCATGAGACATCCACTCCATGTTGCAAATGCACGAAAGTGACACATCTGTCTCATCTTGCATGTAAATACATGGCTTTTATTTTCTCTTTGACATTTTTGATCGTTTATATCTTTAAAAAATTATTTTTTGAAATATTTTATATATTTGAACTCCTGACACTAAGATCTTTAGAACAAGATCAATATTGGATAGATTTCAAACACATTCAAATTTTACGTCTAATTTCACACATATTCCAGCGAAATCTGTTATTCGAAATGAGTGAAAATATGTGAAACGTGTTCTTTCAAACATGTGAATTTGATTGTTTCAATGTGTGAAATTGAATATTTCAAATATATGAAATGGTATTTTTTTAAACTTATGAAACATATTTCAAACTTATTTTAATTTCAGGGAAATCATTTGTTGGAACATAGTGAAATTGGATTTTTTGTGTGTAATTATAACATAAATTTTCATTGAAATTAGTGAAATATGTTTTTTGAAATGAGTGAAATCATTTGAAATAAGTGAAATTGGTTGTTTCAATGAGTGAAATATGGTTAAAATTTGAGTGAAAGATGTTTTTTCAAATGAGTGAAATCTATTTTCTAAAATAAGTGGATTTTTTATGAAACTTATTTCAATGTTTTTGTCAAGTTTGCTTACTCGGTGTGTGAAAAGATGTGAAACTGATTATTTACAAAATACGAAACTTATATTTGTCAACATGTGAAAGTTATTTCACTTAACTTATTTAATTTCAGGAAAATCAGTTTTTGAAACTAGTTATTTCAAACATGTGAAACTTATCATTTCAAAACTTTTTTACAATGAGTGAAATATGTTTTATGAAGTGAGTGAAATTGTTTTTGGAAATAATTGAAATATGTTTTTCGAAATAATTGAAATTAGTAAATTGAAGTGACTGAAATCCTTTTTTTGCCAAAACATGTGAAATCTATTTCGTAAATTGAAGTAAGTTTTTTAAATGAGTGAAATTATATTCTGAAATGTGGGAAATGAGTTTTATGCAAAAAATTATGTTTTTGATATAAGTGAAATTTATGTTTTGAATTGAGTGAAATCTGTTTTTGAAATCAGTGAAATAAAACTAGTTCAAATGTATCCAAAATATATCTTGTTCTAAAGATCTTTTCGCTATGAATTCAAATATATAAAAAGTATCAAAATTGAAGTTCGATTAAAAAAATATCTATCATCCAAATTTCCACAATGAAATTAAATGGAAGTATTTTGAGGGGGGTTATTTTAGCATATGCATGCAGACAGTCTTCTCTCAATCCTTTCTCTCTCATGATATAAAGCCGACAAGGAGAAGGCCCACATTTATGTATTTCAATTCATCTCTCTTATACTCCCTCAGTTTTTATTTACTCCGCATATTAGGTTTGACTAAAGTCAAACTTTGTAAAGTTTGACCAAGTTTATAGAAAAAAATATAAACATTTACCATAGCAAATCTATATGATGTGAAAGTACATTTAATAATGAATCTAATGGTATTTCTTTATTATTGTATATGTTAATATTTTTATTTATAAACTTTGTCAAAGTTTACAAAGCTTGACTTTGACCAACGCTAATATGCGGACTAAATAAAAACGGAGGGAGTACACAAAACAAGGGCCCAAATTCCTAAAAGCACTCCAACGGTGGATGCTCCACCGGTACATAAAAAAAAACTTTTTCGACTGCGTACCACCATGACGGCTACGTCTTTGCCTCTGATGGCCATTGGCGTCTTATGCTCTTACCAAGTTTTTGCTCTTATCTAATGTGGTGTTCTAATCATTTGATCAGTATCCCATTTCTGTTAAGGCTTAAGACAAGTTATCCTAACACTTCAAAACATGATTAACTAACAAGTTATCCTAACTCTTAACAACCTAGTCACGTTGGTTACATGTCGCCTTCGCATGGACCTGTGTATTAAAAGGGTTTGTGTGGACCTTTAGCTAGGAAAATATATCGGCGAATGAGTTTGTTAGAGTTGAGTTAGACCCGTTCCATGCCGCGCATCAACAACTTCTCTGTCTAGGAGCAACACTGAGCCAATTGATGCCCTTAAAAAATCAAGCTGCCCACGTATGAAATGTAGTGATTGCGCGGCGGATTGATGATGATATGACCTGCGCGTACTGTGCTAGCGCTCGCTTGGCACTATAATTGGCACTAACAAACGCACCAAAAATATCCATGCTTCACACTGCACTCGCCGAGCTGGCTATACGATCGAGGAGCATGAGCCCGTCCATCGTCACCGTGTCGCTCGCCGCCGCCGCCGCCCTCGTCGCCATGGTGCGGGTCGGGCCGGAGGAGCTGGCCAGCCGGCTCTCCGAGGCCCGGCCGGTGCACCTCTTCTTGGCCTGCTTCCTTCCGGCCGCGGCGACCGTCCTGTACCTCATGCTGCGTCCCCGCGCGGTGTACCTCGTCGACTACGCCGGCTTCCGCACCCCGCACACCTGCCGCATCCCCTTCGCCAGCTTCCTGGAGCACGCCAAGCTGATGCCCGAGCTCAGCGAGCGCAGCATCCGGTTCATGACGCGCCTGCTGGAGCGCTCCGGGATCGGGGAGGAGACCTGCCTGCCGCCGGCGCACCACTACATCGGCACGCACAAGTACTGCACCGTCGACGCCGCCCGCGCCGAGTTCGAGCTCGTCGCCTTCTCGGCCATCGACGACCTGCTCGCCAAGACCGGCGTCGCCCCCGAGGCCATCGACATACTCATCGTCAACTGCAGCCTCTTCTGCCCCACGCCGTCCCTGGTCGACATGATCGTGAACAAGTACAAGCTGCGGAGCGATATCCGCAGCATGCACCTCTCCGGCATGGGGTGCAGCGCGGGGCTCGTCGCCGTGGGGCTCGCGGGGAACCTGCTGCAGGTCGCCCCCCACGGCGCGCACGCGCTGGTCGTCTCCACGGAGACCATCACGCCCAACTACTACGTCGGGACCGAGCGCGCAATGCTCCTGCCCAACTGCCTCTTCCGCATCGGCGGGGCGGCCGCGCTGCTGTCGACGTCCCCGGCGAAGGCCCGGTTCCGCCTGAAGCACCTCATCCGCACGCTCACCGGCGCGCAGGACAGCGCCTACCGGTGCGTGTTCCAAGAGGAGGACGGGGATGGCCACCGCGGGATCAACCTCAGCAAGGACCTGATGAACATCGCCGGCGACGCGCTCAAGGCCAACATCACCGCGATGGGGCCGCTAGTCCTGCCGGCCAGCGAGCAGCTCAAGTTCGCCCTCTCCTTCATCGCGCGGAAGGTGATCAACAGGCGGGTGAAGCCGTACATCCCCGACTTCCGCACGGCGTTCGAGCACTTCTGCATCCACGCCGGCGGCCGCGCGATCATCGACGAGCTGCAGAAGAACCTCGGGCTGTCCGACGAGCAGGTGGAGGCGTCGCGGATGACGCTGCACAAGTTCGGCAACACGTCGAGCAGCTCGCTGTGGTACGAGCTGGGCTACATCGAGGCCAAGGGCCGCATGCGCAAGGGCGACCGCGTGTGGATGATCGGCTTCGGGTCCGGGTTCAAGTGCAACAGCGCGGCGTGGGAGTGCATCCAGCCCGCCCGCAACGCCGATGGGCCGTGGGCGACGTCCATCCACAGATACCCGGTGGTCATCCCCGACGTTCTCAGCCATTAACCCACCACCGTTGGCCATGGAGAGGATTACAGTTCGTCATGCTCGTGTTTCATCAAGTAATTTGTTTACGCCATTAACCGTTTGCGGCCCGAAGGATTACTGCTCATCATGTTCACGTTGCGCCAAATAATATACTGTATGATATTGTTCTTTCAATCACCTATTAATCTTCACTGAACAATGTTTTAAATATTCATTGTCAAGTACGCAACTTGTTTGTATAATTTCAAATTTATCTTTGTGTCGGTTAATTATTTTGAAAACAATCCCACTCGACCAATATCTCACGACACATATGTCTACACTAGCATAGTTATTGGTTGATGGACACATGACATCAAACCGATAGTTATACAAATGCATGCTAGGACACTTGGGGTTGGGTCGACATGGTATGAGAACCCGCAAAAAAAAAAGGAGACCCCGCGAGAGAGATCCATTCCTACATGCCATTGCCATCAATTGATCCCATGCACAATGTGCATTATTAGACACATGTATGTTTTTTATGTACTTGGGATGTATTAGTACCTATAATATTATGAAATGCCACTCCTTTACTGGATAATTATGAATGTTTATTTTTTGCTTTGTCATTAACCATCATGCAAGACATGACCAATCAATATAGAGACTTGCCCCTCCTCAGCCGTTCAAGAGAAGTTTTGATCTCTCGAGTAGTCCGGATTTAGAAATAAATAGCCATGATCCTCACGGTTACTTACTCTTATGTACAAGTGATCCCAAGTCACATGGTGGAGAAATAGTGGTTGCACTAAATAGACAAGAATGACGCACACTTGCAGTTTGAGTTCGACCCATTCCACGAGGCATATACTCTCTTTGTTTTTATTTACTCCTCATATTTGGTTTGTCTAAAGTCAAACTTTATATATTTTTAACAAGTTTGTAGAAAAATATATTAGCATATACACCATCAAACATATATCATTGGATTCACCATTGCATATACTTTGACATAATATAAATTTGTTACTGTAAATGTTCATATTATTTTCTATAAACTTGGTCAAAATTTATAAAGTTTGACTTCAGTCAAAACTAATATACGAAGTAAATAAAAACGAAGAGAGTATGATTGCATGCAAGTATTGCTACCATTGGTCCATTGCCGAGTAGTTGTACTTTGTACATTTGTAAGCATGCATAAAAACCAACAAAATAACACACATATGCATATAAGCCATTCGATCACCAATAATTGTCTAAATTTCTTGCGGGCCTAGAATTGAAACTCTAATTAATCTCTAACGCAGAGACTCATTATATATAGCAACACTTATTTAACGAGAGGGACGATGGACGTGCGTTTGAAAGCTATAGCTAGCCACCACCTTCCACCTCGCCCAAACCACAACTTAATTTTCCTTCACGTTGTCAGTTCCATTTCTAATTGAGTGTTTTTTTTTGCATGAGGTGCAGCTTTACTCTGTTTTTATCACGTTTCCAGCGCCGCAATTCTACTTACCTGAACTATTTTATTTGACACACACA